GACATACAGCCTCCTTGTTTAATACTCATAATACTCTTCTAATTCAGTTCCTCAGCACTGAAGATTTTGGGTTAAGATTCATTGAGAACCTTTCTATTTATACTTTGGAAAGCAGCTTGAGAGAGAAGAAAAGAGTCCAAAGCAGAAGACTCTCTTTTGCAAAAAGCTGTAATTGCACCATTCTAAGACACAGTGGTTACAAATTACATCAGTATTTTAACTGACGCTGTTAAGATTAATTATTAGCTTTAATAATTTCAGCATGGATTCTCACTGAAGAAAAAAATGCATATAACTTGAGTAAGGGCTTTGGTATTAGGAGGATCCAGTTTCAACTGTGATTGCTATAAACAGTGGCTTTCCGCCTCATGACTTGTCTAATTGCGTGACTTTTTATGAAATGATATTCTTTTGGAACACAGTTTGGATCTGTGATTTTTCTGATTTTATAAGATTTTTGCAACCTTTTGGTACTCAAGGGGATTGCAGGAGATTGTGACAAATTCTTCTGAGACTGGTGGCTGTGCATTGATTCATCATAGTCTGTAGAAAGCCTGCCAGCTCAATCTAGCATTTCTGGCCGAAGTTAGGAATCAAAACTATATCCAAAATTTTCCAGTAAGAAAGAATACTGAAGAGCTTGTATCTTCTCCCCTCTTCTGCAGTTGAAAAAGGGAAGTGTTACTGGGATGAGGAAATCCGTTCCAGGACCCCTTCCTGACTGTGAGGGCAAGCAGCCCCATGTCTAAAAGAAGAAAACCTTTTGCATACTTTCCTCCAGGATATGTGACTCTGCACAACTTTTGAGCACCCACTGGCAGAGGTTTGCAGCAGGTGTACTGTGTGTGCCTCTGCATGTGTACACAAGCTGCCCTAGTTTTGGTGCTCCTTACCAAGGAATTGCCACTTCGAATGCACAGCAGTGAGCTCTTGCTTCCATGATAAGGCGAGACCTGTCACAAAGGGTTGGTTGTGTTAGATATGAGGAAAGAAAAAGTATAACTGGAACATGGTAACAGTTTATATAGGATCCATGATTTGGCAGTGTCCATGGCAATTTTCATGCTGTTCTCTGGATCTGAATGCAGTGAAGCAATGGCAGAAGGCCTGTTACCCTCCGTGGAGGCCTATAGGAGCCCTGTAATGTCTTTTATGATTAATAAAATGCACAGGCAAAAATTCTTGAGTAAAGAAGGTAACTATTTAGAAGATGAAGTGAAAATAAAATGATTGACTGTCACTTCAAGTGCCACACTGGAATCTTGACCCAGAAATTGCTCGAGGCATGTGGAGTACACCAGCAGTGTATTTTGCCATGTTCTTACTCAGTTTCTTAGGCTGCAGACAGCTGGGACAAATGGAATACAGGATTGTACAAACCCTCAATTTGACCTTACATTTGTCCACCACTTTGTTTTCTTTTCAACCACATAATTGCTTGAAACTCCAAAATTTCATGTAGATGAGCTTTAATATTGCTAGCAGAAGAAAGGCTGGTGGTATTACTTAGTAGTTGTTGCCACAGTGTGTTTTCTACATTTCTAGCATTACCTTGAAATGAAATAAAACTTAGAGCAGTAATGGACATACATGCTGTGAGGATATTTGTATGGATAATAAAGTTTTGCATTTATTGTGCTGCTGCCACTCAAACATTTAGTGAAAGCACTTGGCAAATGCTAATGAATTTGTTCCCACAACAGAAGCACAGACATGACAGCCAACATTTTTCAAATTTAAGTATCTAAAATTAGACACCGAAGTGTTTTTAGAACCCATAATAAAAATGATTGAATTTTTACAACTGTGGAATACTCACAGCTCTCTGCAAGTGGCTTCATTACTCATACAAAATATAAGCACTTGTGAAAGAATATATTTTCTCCCACCAGTGTGGAAAGAAAAGCCTTGTCCTCTTAAAGTTAAGTGCCAAGCTCTCATTCATGTTCAGGGAGCCAGGATTTTGTTCCCCGGTTTCGGGACAGTGCTGTGTCACTGGGGCTGCTGCTAGGAGTTTTGAAACTGATTTCAGTGGGAGTTTCGTAACTCACCTCTGGGATTGGGCCATTGCTAGTTAACTGCTCTGGTAAGTAACTGTATATATGCTTATGTACAGCATATCAGTTTTCAGCCCTAGGGTCCACAGAAAGAGGAACAACACAGCAACAACAAAGTTGACCATGTCTCTGGTCAACAAACAATTATAACGCAATAGAGAGGGACCACAAACTTGCTGAAATACAGTAAGACTAGATAAACAAGAATGAAATTGGAAAGTAGTTTAAATTCTCATAAGGATATGTACCCAAGATTAAGGAAAAATATTTCAGAAAAAGTTGTTGTACATAATAATAACAAGAAAAACACTTCTGAGAGGGAGGGAACGAGGGAGGAAGGGAGGAAAGCAAGAGAGAATCTCAAATCAGACCTCCTGATCTCCACAGATAAGGATCAAGTTGCATAAAGAAGAACTTGCATTTTAAAATATGAGCTTGGAAAAACTGCATGTTTCTTACCAGTTACTCTTCTAGAGATATGCATGCTTTAAAAAGATCTTAAGAAAACTGGATTTATCTAGTATCGAAACCTTTTCATTTTTCCCTCTCCTATTTTTTTTTTTTAATATTTGTTGGATTTTTGGCCCATCCTGTTTATAGACCTTATGAATCATAAACTTCTGGATACATCTGCCAGATGCAACTTTCTTCCCAGACTGATCTGACCTGGATAGGCAACATGCACAACAGCACTGCTGAAATTCCGCTTACAGCTGGAACATGGAATGAGACTTGGTCCACACAGTCACTGAGCTCCAATTTTTCCCTGGGCGTGTTGGTGCTGCTGGCTTTCCTCATGGTGTTGCTTGCTTTGGTCACCATCCTCGGAAATGCCCTGGTTATCCTGGCTTTCATCTTGGACAGAAACCTCAGGCATCGGAGTAACTATTACTTTCTCAATCTTGCTATTTCTGACTTTGCAGTAGGTAAGTCACAGCTGTGGAGGCAGGTACTACTTTTGCCCTGGGACTCTTAGGAGAAGCAATGGGGTTTATTTTCTGTGTGGTTTCTTCTGAGAGAACTGTTTCCCAGCTGTGTGTCTAAGGGGAAAGTAAGGAATGGTGGAAGCTGCATGAAGTGTTTTAGCAGCCTATTATTTTTCAGAAAGAAATGGATCTTTTGTCAGGTAAATGGGTAATGTTTAATGTTGTCACTTCAGGGTAAAATACTACTGTTCATGAATATATTCAGAATCACAAAGACTGTGAGTTGTTTGTGAAGGGTGTTGACTAAAGTCTAGGAAGTCAAACTGAACACAGCATACATTATCTGGGAGATCTTGCATACATTGTTGATACCTTCTATTTCAAGATTTCTAATCTCATAAAATAATCACCTGAAGTTTGTAACTAAATAGCAATGAATAGTAGTTTTAACCATTTTGCTGTATATGCACCATTTAAAGTCATACTCTAGAAATATGTATTTGTATAGGTAAACAATAATAAAAAGTTAACCAGTTTCTAAGAATTTGTTATATATTTATTCACAGGGACACATTTTATTCTGAAACCTCTACTAAGAAATAGTACAACTAAAATGCTAGTGTGATGTGCAATTGGAGATCAATGTATTGCAATATTCTGTGAAATGTTTAGTCTCTGGTAGAAGTATTGTTAAATTCCTGAGTATGCAGAAAGATAGTTTTAAACAGGTGTAGCTATTTCATGAAATCTATATTCTGACTTGTTGCATCACATCCAAACCTTTTAAAACTGTTTTTATTCTACTTTCCCCCCCCCTCCACATTTAAAAAGGATACTGAAAGAACAGAAGAAACTCCTCTTAAAATTTATTGTCAATGTGAGAAGTTCTATTCAAGTCATTGCTTCTAACAGTCCAGTCCTCATGATGTCCAGATCTTCTTGTATAATGTTTTGATCCTTTTCTCCATATGCTTTATGTTCTCTTCCAGCTTATAACTGCCTTGCTGTGCTGCAGAGCACGTGGTACAGCTATGGTACACATGAAAAACATGCACCAGTGAACAGAAAAACAGTGGACAGCATGGTGTTTTGTCCTCTGGCTCACAATCTAGCACCATCTTGAACAAATACCAACATCTAGCTAAGAAGTACAAAGTCAATAATGTCCTCTATCAAAGGAGGAAGTAGAGCTTACTTAGTGTTACCTAATTTCCATAAATTTTTGTTTAGTGATATTATGATTATCTGAATATCTAGCTTTTCATTCTAAATTTGGTTAAAAGTTTTGCATGCTCTAGAGTCAAATCGATCTGTATTTCTGTAACTACATAATTTAGATTCAGAGTATACCTAAGTTATCCTTAATTTGTGCTTGAACTAATTGCTAAAAACACACACTTTCATGCTTGCAGAGCCCTTTGTGTATTCTTTTAATATATTTAACCTATCTCATTTTGACCTTCAACAACTTTTTGATTATGTCTGTACTTCTGGATCTATAGCTGGATTTGAATAGAGATTTTAGGGAAATGGAAACTCTTAAGATACTTTTCAGTACCTGTTCCAAGAACGCACACTATTATGCAGTAAATCTAAAGCTGAAGTAGTATTCCTCCTGAATGCTAAAATCTATAATATAACCTTCTGCTCAAAAGAGCTAGTGTTAGTTGCTCTGTAGATGCAGTGATTCCATTTCATTGCAAGCAACACCGTTAATTCTTCAGCCTTTCAAGGCTGCACTGGGACTGTGTGTGTAGTGAGATCACCTAGAAATTCATTAAAATGAGGTCATATTGGCACTTTCACAACAGTTGGGTTTAACAGTCTAAATTTAGATAGCCATTGGTGCAGGTCTCTCATGTATGTTCCCACCACTTGTGTTCCCATAGATAATACCCTATCAGCCCACCACTGAAAAGCAGTTACTATCAAGAATTATGAGAAGAAATGTTAGGCTGGGTGTACTTAATTAACTGTGCAGGTTTTGTCAGCCTTTTGATCTTACGGTTTTAAAGATTAGTCTGAAATTCATATTGTATTGCCATAAAAGTTAATTCTGGAGCACTATCAGACACCATCTCATGCTTCTCAGAGGATAGAATAATGAAAATTAGATAATTTATTGTAGAAAGCAGTTAGTAAATTACACCGGGGGGAAAGATGGTTTTGTTTGTTTTAATTTCAGTTGTTAATACCCTACAATGTTTACTTCAGCAGGTTAAAAAGTCAGCTGCTCCTTCCTTTAGCAGGTGATATAAACAGAAGAAGTAGTAATTGTACACAATAACCACAATATGTCTTTCAAAAACATATTAATTGTTACTGGTGCCTAGTTTGTAGTACAGTGTTTGTTGGTTGCATGGGAATAGAAAGCCTTCCACATGGCGATTCCAGTCAGTATCATGCTTTTATCAGATACTTCAGAAATGTCTCTATGCTTTCGCAAGCACTGTTGCAGTGCTTATTGATGTTTGTGTTTATTTTATCTCCACAGGTGCATTCTGTATTCCTTTGTATATCCCTTATGCCCTGACAGGGACATGGCACTTGGGAAGAGGCCTGTGCAAGACCTGGCTAGTTATGGACTATCTCCTGTGCACAGCTTCAGTGTTTAACATTGTTCTTATCAGCTATGACCGTTTCCTGTCAGTTACAAAAGCTGTAAGAAGAACTTTTCTAATTATTGCTTTATACATATTCAGATTGCTATAAAATTCAGAGTGTTCACAATTAGCAGTAGAAGTTAAATAGTCCATTATTGTACTTTTTTTTTTTTAAAGAAATGTTGATGTTTCAATGTTGCATTGGGATTTTGAGACAGGACTATGTCTTGCCTATGATTTCAATGTTTTCCTCCTGCTGCCTGGATTAGAAATGATTTAGGTATTCTACAGAGGAGGTGGGAAGGTCAAGGTAGGAAAGGGTCAGCAGGAGTGTGAAGAACTTGGGCTTTGGTCATTAGACGAGTGGCAATGAAAACTAGATTGAGTCAAGGATGTGCTTAGTCTTGGGATAAGTTTTAAAAGAACAGGGTATGGCAAGAGATGTGGGATGGACTGACTGAAGGTCAGATGAGGTTCTGCATTACCACAGGGGGTGATTGACATGTGCTGCCACGAAGCAGATGGGTGGAAATTAATCCCTTTAAGCAAAAAGAATGAATCAAAATATGTGGAGAAGTAAGAGGTGCTGCTTGAGTATTTTCATTCTTCTGCTTCAGAAGATATCTGAGGAATCCAGTGGTAAATATTATCATACACCATTACTAAGGTCTACCTGCTGTTTGGTCCAGATGGAAGATGATCAACCTCCTTTGCTTTTGATGAGTCTGCTATGTCAAGTGACATGGGCTGTGTTAATCTGGGAGGTTCTTGTCTGGCAACTGCTGAAACAATGCCTAATCTCTTTCACTTCTTCCCCACTGTTGTGGTTTTAGGGTTGGTTGGGGTTTTTACAAGCTGAACAATAAAGTATGAAAATTCCCGTATTTAAGAAACAGTATTATTGAAAAATATTCACCAAGTTGCAGGGCTCAGACTGTGAGAAATGTAAATTAAAAAGACCTCTGCAATACAACTCAGTTCCATGTTCTTACTCACTGTTGCTGGTCTTCATTTACGTGATCATATTCTGCTTTTCTTGTTTAGGTAGTTAGGGTGGAGTGAGTCCAGGAGTGTGTAACATAGGGCTGTTATCCAAAGAAAAGATATCATGCTTCCTCACAGACTTGGAATCCACCTCTGCCTCTGCTGCAAAACTAGCTCGTGGCCAGGGGCCAGTTGTTTCAGACTCAACTGTTTGTGAAGCTGTGCCGAGCTTCCTGTTTTCTGCCTACTAAACTGAAATGCTTTTGCTCTTGCAAAGGGATGCAAATTTATTGTTGCAGAACTGGAGCTGTGCTCTGAGCTGATATGACACTTTAAAATGTAGAGAAGTCTGAATCTTCAGGCTACAGATGTTTAAAACAGAGAATCTAATACAGTATGTAAAACACTGCGCTAGTGCTCTGTTACTCAGTGGTAAAATAGGGATAATGACCCTCATGCCACATGTGGCTGTGAAGATATAATTCATTAATATTTGTATAGCATGTAGGTGCTACCCTAATGAACAGCAGAGGAAGCTGATGAGAAATGTAGTACTTCTGGGTCAGAGTAAAGTCTGGGATGAAAAATGTTGAACAGTGTGGAGGAAATAAAATTGTTCAGCTTCTCATTTACTGATCATCTTGTGCTCTGAAAGATGCAGGGGACCAAGAGCTACAACTACGTGTTGTACATACTGGCTGAGCTATTAAAAGGGCAGTTTTAACTCTCATAATTTCCTAACAATGGATAATTTTAACTCTTAGTATTTTTTCCAAAGATAGATATTGACTGCTAGAGAGTGAAATAAATTAATGCAGCCAGGGTAGACACAAAAACATTGAGACTTGTATTACATTTGCAAGTAATACAATGAGGTGTTTACAAGGTAATGTTTCCATAAAGTAAGGGATGTCAGAGCTTACATGTGGGATAGATTTTTCTGCTATGGCAAGAGGAAACAGTACTAAAAATTACATTGTCTAGTGTTTGCAGTTGCACATGGCAACCTGTCTACTTCTGGCAACCTGGATTCTACTTTTGTCTGTTGAGGAAGGAAGTCCCACAGTTGCTTTCACTCTGAGCCTGGGCATTTCACGAATCATAAACTGATTCTTTATTGCTACCTTACTGTAGCAAAGATGAAAACAAGCCATGTCCTTTCACACCTGGAAGCCAAATGGTAGTTTAGCCATTGTAATTTCTGCTCCTCTCCAAACCCAAGTTTTAAAATCAATCAGAGAGCTACAGTATTTGATGAGCAAGACTAACAGTTTTTCAGGACCTTATATAAGCAAAGATGTTTTAGGTGTCAGGGCAACTACAGAACAAATATTGTATTTGACTTAACTGCTTATGTTTTTTTGAGGTAGTTGTTCCAAAATGTTGTCTGAATATGTGACATGTCCTTTTCGTTCACAGGTATCTTACAGAGCCCAGCAGGGAATAACGTCCAACCCTGTCATCAAGATGGTGGCCATCTGGGTCTTTGCCTTCCTCCTCTACTGCCCGGCCATCCTCTTCTGGGAGCACGTGGCCGGGCACAGCGTGGTACCAGAGGACCAGTGCTTTGCCGAGTTCTTCAGCAACTGGCTCTTCCTCCTGTGTGCATCCACCCTGGAGTTCTTCGTGCCGCTGCTCTTGGTGACCTACTTCAACGTGCACATCTTCCACAACATCCAGAGGCGCCAGCGGCACAGCAACAGACAGGACTGCGAGTGTCCTAGGACAAGTAGCCTGTCTTGGAGATCCTGCCTCTTGCCAAGTCCAGGAGCATCTTCTCCTCCATCAGAAGCAGAGGAGAGTGTTTCTTCATTAACGAGGTCATGGAGACCAGCAGTGATGGCTAACTGTCCATCTCCAACACAAAACAGCTCCACAGCTCTCAAAAAGGACTTCTCTAGTTCTTTCTGCTTAAGGTCTGGGCCAAAACTGCAGCAGGACAAGAAAATAGCAAGGTCACTTGCCATAATTGTGTGTATATTTGCCATTTGCTGGGCCCCATACACTTTACTAATGATCATTCGTGGGGCCTGCCAAGGAGAGTGCATCCATAATTCCCTGTATGAAGTAACCTTTTGGCTTTTGTGGCTCAATTCCTTTCTGAATCCATTTCTCTACCCTCTCTGCCATATGAGGTTTCGAATGGCTTTCATCAAAATACTATGTCCAAAAAAGTTTGTAACATTGAGATCACCTAAGACACCTTCTTTATAGAGAGTTAAAATAACTGACTTACAGATAAGGTTCCTCTCTTATATAGTGTTATCTTTTCGTATGTATCTTAAACAGAAGTAGAGCATAAACTTTTGTTTGCTAATGGCATTGGTGAAGAGTGAGGCAGAGGTATGCATTTGTCCTGATTTTGCTAGTTTTTAGGCTCTTGTTTTTGGTTTTGCTGGTATGATGCCATGTTAAACACCATCCAGTGCACTGAAAAGAATAACAAGTTTTGCTGGATACCCTTTGTGGCTTGTGGGTTTGAGGTCCTTTTTGTTTTACTTTTCATTGGTTTGGGTTTTTTAATATAGAGCTGGTACTATGAAAGAATCATCTATGGATAACTCTGCAGAGGTTCATTGGAGGGAGATCCCTGTTTGTGTATGTGTTAAAATTGATGTCCTATTTGTGAACCCAAAGCTCTCAGTGAAGAAGCAGTTCTACATTTTTGAAAGGTTGTGTGAATACTCACAGGAGCAGTATAATTTTGGTTTAAAAACTATTATGAAGACAAGATTGTGCCCTGTAGTCATTATAATTCACACAGTGAACAACATGCAAGTGAATGAACTGCCAGATCTGGCATACCTGTCCTTTTCTAATTTTAATATAGTCCATACCTGGTCTTGCAGGACACAGGACCCTAAGTTAGTAATTCTGGATGTTTTTCAGAGAATGAAAGTTTCCATGGTAATGGAATTTTGAGATTGGTTATAATCTTAAAGGTCTTTTCCAACCTTCTTGTAAAAGCGTGTGATTCTAAAATCATCACAGGCATGAATGGTTGTTACTCTTTTCACCAGTACTGTCTTTTTTCCTGACAGCGGCTGCCTCTTTGGTCATGCTTATATGATATTTAGTACCAGGTTTGTGAACTATTTGATTACCTAAAAGATTTGCCTGCCTTGGGCACATGATCACATTCCTCTTAGATTAGCAGAGCAAGCAATGCAAAGTTCACACTGGATTGACTATGTCAGCTGGCTGTGTGAGAATAGGCAATACCCTTTCAGGTGTAAAGCTTTGCAAGTGCAAAGATGCTCCATCAAAATGTCTGGAACAAATCTTTGTGTACTGTTACTGTGGCATTTTAAGGA